ATTTATATGTATATATGTATATATATATATATATATAATATATTTATATATATATATATATATATATATATTTATACAGTACCATCTACTGTACCAATTACGAAGCTCTAAAGTACAAATCTGTAATAAGAAATGCTACACATGCTTTATACATATACATCAACTGCAAATGGTAATGAGGAATATGAGTGTATAAAAAAATTCCCCAAACATGACTCTAATCCAGCTTATGTGAAGCCTTAAGGCCAACTCAGACAGCTTTGTACAACTCAGTCTAACACGATTCTTCGTCGGTGGATAGTTATAAGCCATCGTGAAAAATATTAAACATGTTTAATATCTATGGCGCTACTGCCCCCAACACAAACCATCGCATCTGCATTTAAGTCACACAGATCCGACGCGTTTACAAATTCCGTTAGACCATGTCTTACGACTCTGTCTGAGTGGGCCTTTAAACTAATGAGTAATTGAGGCTTTCATTGGAAGTTGAAATCCGATTGGAGGCAAATGATTTCACACTCTACGGTATGCCGATACCACACTAGTACCGTATTCGAAACATACATGTTAAAAATAGATCAATGTGATACACCCACTTACTAAGCATTTTAAATGAAAAGACAAGATCTCTATAGATATACTATTTTATATAAGAAATGTTACTTGTGAAGAGATTAACTCAACACCGTAAACACTTGCTCGCCGATTTAATAAATATTCCTGGCAAAATATTACCATCTCTCTGGAGTTCATTTGTTTTTATATATATTTAAATGTATACAGTATGTGTATATATATTTACATACATATATACATATTTATGCCTATATACATACATATATAAATATATATATATACACACACATATATATAAATATATATATATATATATATATATAAATCAAGATAGCCATTAACACTGATTAATTATATATAAATCCCTTATTCGAGCACTGTACTTTCTTTTGATATATATATATATATATATATATATATATATATACACATATATATATATATATATATTTACACACACATATACATATACACACACATATACACCCCCACATATACATATACACACACATGCATACATACATATGTATGTGTGTGTATACATATATATGGATAAACAAAATAAGTAAATGAATTATTTAGTATTTTCTAACTACCATTTTAAATGTCTTAACTAACTTAAGTGTCGAAGTACTATTATGTCTGTCAACCATTTCATTAACTGAGGCATACATGAAGAAACATCAATTACGTCAATTTTATTAATTATAAAATATAACCAAATAGATAAACAATACCAGTGCTTAAATTTAAACACGGCATAGACACTTTTTATACAACTGAATTAAAGGAACTTTTCATTGAAGGACTATGATTGATTTGATTATAACATCTTGTTCCTATTTGAGCACTGTTATTATTATTGTATTATATATATGGTACAGACTGTCTCTTATACACATCTAGATGTGTATAAGAGACAGGGGCCGTAGTGTGTTCTAGACGCCCGAACATAACATTTGAGGCATTCTGGGCTATCATTTTTTTCTTTTTCTCTCTTTTTTTCCTTTTTTTTTTCTTTTTTTTACCTCCCAAAAGGGGGGACCGGGGCCGGGCCGGCCCCCCCCTAAATCCGCCCCTGATATATATATATATATATATAGCACTACATACACACAAGTACTCAAGATATGGGACTATTGTATCTACACAGTGATGAAATGTAACTATTGCAGTAACTGCTTGCAGTTCATTTTGAAAACATTTTATTAGGACAAGACTTTTTATACCTTGCTTTACTAAATATACTGCCCAATAATGATTTTTTGAAATAAAAATAACATTTAATTTTTAGCTTGTTAGCATGCCTACCACTAATCCTCTTACATGAACACAGAACATTTTTTAAACAACAATGTCATCCTCCTCAATCACATTTTACCTCAAGTACTTTTTCTTTTTTATTTGTCAATTTAGTTGTCAATAAAGTTTTACATATTTATCTCTTCTGCCTATATGCTTTTGGTGGACCATTTTGCTAAAAAAATATATATGTTATTTTTATTTTTTCCCACCCTGATGATTTTTTTAAAATAAAATTTACTAAACAAGGTATAAAAACAATCTTGTCTAACTAGGTACCAGTACACAAAATCTTGGGCTTAACTTTTTGAAACACATCATACATAGAAAAAGATTGGCAGACAGAATAATAATGGGCAATGACTTAATAGTACATCATTATCTCTGGAAATGTTCATTTTTTTAAACAAAGATGAGATACCTTTATGGCACAACATTTGCACCCATTTTTAAGTACAAAAATGGACTGATAAGGCATAATGTTGTTGGTACCATACATTAACCTCAACTTATAGTAATAATTATAATAATAAATAATAATAAGATAGCTTACTATACTTCAAAGATTTAGCAAATAGTATGAAATATTTTCGACAATAATACTAACAACAACAATAATATAATAAACAATGTGCCAGTTTCTCTATAGCACTTCATGCCAAAAAGGCCTATATGAATTACATATTATTACCTCAGCCATTGCATTAAACATCAATGCAACACTAAGCTCATTTTTTTTTTGGGGGGGGGGGGCAATAATTCTATTGCTGCTATTAATCAGCACATTGGTATAATTATTCAGGTAATTAACAAACCTTGCTTGTAATTGAGAACAACAATGAGAATGTTTTTATCATCTTCATTTTTATTTGCAACATGAACCCTCAATTCAGCACCTTTGCTTAAGTTCGCGAATTCGGTTATTTTATTAACAAGTTGTCGTCATCCAACTCCTTCTCAACTCGCTGACAACCAATTCATCATTAATTCTGCATTGCCACACACTTCTTTAGCATAAAAAAGAAATCTTTATTCAAATTGCAGAGAACCAAATCACTATACAGCATACATCTTAATATTATATGCCTCTCATCATTCTGTCATTAATTTTTCAATTAAAAGAATTGTAGGGTCAAATGTTTTAATAATTGATCCGTGTTGATTATTACAACAATATTTTATATACTTGTGACAGCTGATGGATTCAACAACAGTTGCCCAGCAAGCCTTTCACTTGCGACGACTGGTACTTTTCTTCTTCCTTCTTTTGAAACAGCAACATCTGAAAGGAAACACAACAAAAACAACAATAACAACATGATGTATAATTAGTCCCCCAGTATGTTGCCTCTGTGGTTGTATACGTGTTTTATAAAGTATAATCAATGTGTCATTATCAATGACAATAAATATTTCAGAGCAGTTTTGTGAAATGTGGAAATGCCATTTCAGATGAGAAATGTTAATGCCTAAGTATTTCAGACTTGATACGCATTCAACCTGGAGACCGTATAAAGAGATAGGAGAAAATATAATCACATTTTTGGAAAAATAAATATTCATAACTTTACTTTTAATTGGAGAGAAGACATGAACATTTGATGCAGACCAGGATTCAATTTTAAAAGCAGAGAAGGGCAGCAAATCAAATGATGGATCTTGAAACGATGATGGTAGGATGAAGTCATCAGCGTAAAGAAAGGAGAGGCAATTGAGGTCATCAATAATGTCATTAATAAAGCATATGAATAAACTGGTACTGGTACTGGTATAAGCATTTGTAATGTGCCTCTTCCTTGAGGTTATAAAAGCGCAGTTCTTTCCATGGTCATTGGGTTTACATGCTTTAAGTGTTACTGCTGGTAATCAGCGCAGGAGCAGGCAACCCCACCAGGAACCCATTTATACTGTACTCCTAGGTGAAGAGAAGCAATGCAGATAAAAGTGCCTTGCTCAAGGACACTAGCAAAATGCAGATAGGGATTCAAACCCCGAACTTGAGGTTGGGAAACCAAACCGCTCCTGCAGCGCCAAACCGCCTCCATGGTTAAAGGTTCTTCTGTGATCTTAAAGAATGTTTTCCAGAGACAATACCATTAAAAGAAGTTTTTTAATTATTATTCAAGGTCTTTATTCAGATTTAGATAAAAAAAATTACAGACAGCCAAAAGGCTGTCTACGAATGTATTACAAAAATAGCAACGATATACAGTTAAAAACACCAAAATTTAAGAAATTCACAAAGAAAGTATTACAAAAATAGTTATACAATTAAAAAACACCAAAATTTAAAAAAATTCACAACACAAACAAGGAAAAAAAACCCCAGGGATAAGAAGCACAACACCAGACAAAAAACCAAATTAAAATGAAAAAAAAGTGGAAGAGATAAAAAAATGCATGTAAAAAAACACCAAAAAAATTAAAATAAATTAAAAAAAGCCAAACACAATTTACATAGACAGCCAATTTCTTATATCATTTGAAGAGAGGGACTGTGAGCTAGCCAAACACAAGAATTAGCATATGTACCAACAAGAAGGTCCAAGGTTATGATGAGTATCAGGCAATATATTAATATATGTATATATTTACAAAATGGGTCTAACTGGAACCAAGCAAACGTGTCATATACAGTATAGCAGAGTTACAAAATCTATTTGTTCTACATTTTGGAACCTACAGGTTATTAGAGTTACGGAGGCTACGACTATGTCGTGAACTATTAGATGGAGGCAGAAATCGTCTAAATGTTTAGGAATTGAGTAACTGATTAGCAAACTTAGATGTTAATTGCTCTCTATGTTCTTTAAGGGAAAATAATCCAAGATCACAGCAGGCTCGGTGTATGATTGGTAATTACCACGATTGATTATTTTGATCGCACATTTCTGGACTCTGTCAATATCATTACATTGATCTTGGGTAATAGAGGGGTGCCACACTGGTGCAGCATATTCAACTATTGGACAAATGTATGACATATATACAGCCACTAAACTTGAGGTTCTCCTGAATACACACTCCAAGTAGTTTACATTGTTTAACAGATTCTATATCAAAACCACTAATTTTGAATTGGGATCCAGGGATAGGAGCACAGGAAAAATTTAGATTCATGACTTTACACTTAGAAGGCTTAGGGACCATGTTATTGAGTGCACACCAAACATCCAAAGAATTAAGTTGCAGCTGTAGATCACCAGTGGGTGCAGTTTTAACATTTACTACCTCAGCTAATGTTAGGTCATCTACATATTTCCATCGATTATAAGAATCAACCACTGCATTGTTGATCATGATAGTAAACAGCAGCGGACACCACTTGAGATATCCATGCTGCGGGAAAATGTTTCTTTAAATCGGACCTTTTGAGATCTTCCACTTAAAGCTACATATAACCGGGGTAATGGAAGGCGCAATATCTAAATCAATAAGTTTCTTGATACTCAACAACCACTAACTATTATTATTTTCAATACTGTATTTCCTCAGGCAAAATCATACCTTGGGTATAAATCCACCCCTTACTTTACACCCAAGTTTACATACCAGCCTTTCCTTGGGAAAAAAGCCCAACGTATGATCTGAATGAGTAGCTAAACTGACTTTTTACAAAAGTAAAAAAAAAACTGGCTTTGAACTAGCTATGCAGTGCTGAAAAATCAGCTTTTGGTCCACCTCCTATAATCAGAATAATTTCATGCTGAAGGGGGGTGGGCTTATATCAGAGGAACTATGATACTAATGTATACATACTTTGTGTCCTCTACAACCTCAACCTCAGCCTGTGCTGTGATGGGAGCATTGGAGTGTCCAGCAGTTGGGTCATCGTTGACTAACTCGCCATTGGTTGAACTAACCACTTGTACTGATCCGTATTTGTCACCAACAGCCAACGGTGGATTTAAGTGATGTGGCAGTTCAGTCCAAGCTTTTGTTTGCTATAGAATATATAAATGCAAATAATTTAGATTAGCATAAAATAGATAGATCAATTAAGTTCTATGAAAAATGGACTATATTTAATGTGTTATGCCAGTCTTATTATTGCCAAAAAGACATTATAACTAAAGAAAGTTTATATGTTTTTTTTTTTGTTTTTTTTTTGTTATTTTAACCTGCCGGCTGTATAGCCTTAAAAGCCATGTGGGAAAGCCATTTTGTGATTTGGCCATTATTCGGCAGATTTTTTTAATTTCTGAGTTAGCTTTTGACAAGAGCCCCCAAGCAATAAGGTACCAGACCACATTTAACCTCTCTTGGGCAGGTTCTTTAGAGAAAAAAAAACATTAAATAGTTGATGACATCCCCTAATTATCAATCATATATCAATAAGTACTGGTATTCAGCAAATGAGTTTGAGTTTGGAGAAAGGTAAAACATTTGGTATGGCTTGATACTTTATCATTTACATGTTTCTAAATAATCAGATTTATGTCCCAACTAATGATCTTTTTTTTAACAGCAGAAATATCAAGTCATTTATAACTTATGAGAATCAGATCAACTCTCTTTTTGGCATGTCATAATTTAGGTATAAATTCTGTCTTCAGATTAATTAGCATCGACATTATGATGCTTTGATCAGCACACCATGTGTGATATTCTCGCAAACGTAGGCTAAGCTTTAAAATATTACTCAATTATCTTTTAAAAAGTTAAATCAAGTTTAGTTTCATTGGTGTTATTGTCCTGGTGCTACATGATTAAAATACTTTAATACTGAAAGGTTTAATTATTGGCCAATGTACAGTAGAATCCCTCATTTACGTACGGCACGGGCCCAGAGCCGTTCGTAAATTCGGGTATTCGTAAAATCGGGGTTGACCCAAATTCCTATATATTTGCACTGGTACTACTTACACTGGCATAAACTAGGCCTAGCTAGGCCTACAGGCTTACGCAGCCAAGTCTGAGGGGGGCCTAGGCCTACAGTTGGCAGCTTCTAAGCATTCTGATCCCACTCTAGGCCCTGCACAAATTTGTTTTTATCGGACGTTTTTACCTTCTTAAATACCTAGATTGTGGATTTTATTCCAACACAACTTCCATAGATACTTGTTTATTATATATATTGGTCATTCAATAAAACAATCAAGCACTATGTTGAATTTTAAAGCTGAAAACGATGTTTGAAAGAGAAGTAAAATTTGTCACATGCACATGTGTGAAGCCATAAAAAACACTGACTTTTGAAGAGGCCCGTTAGAGGGCCTCCTTCACTTGAGAATTACATAGTACTATATAGTATGGTGTGTTGTGTTGTATACATGGTAATAACAGGTACAATTCGAGCGGTTTTTTTTTTTTTAATCTTTCGCTTCAATTTTTATGACGTCATCACCTTTATATTACGTTCGTAAAATCGGGAATTCGTAAAATCGGGGTTCGTAAATGAGGGGTTCTACTGTATTTGTAAAAAGTGTGGTATAAATCCATAATATATAATAATTTTTTAGGTTTTGGTGGCCATTTAAACAGATGAGGTCATATGGCTTCAACAAATTAGGCTGACTCAATTTTTATTATAATGTTGTAGCCCCAATACAAAAATATCATTATATTGTTGCCTTTTGAGTATGTGATTCAATGAATAATAATCTAACAATTAGTTTTCATTATTGCCCTGATAATCAATGTAACTGGTGGGGGTGAGCTCAATTAATATAGTGTAGGTACACTGACAAATTCACTGGGCTATAATAAATGTGTAAATTCAATCAAAAGGAAATGTAAACTATTTTCCACTATTTTTTCATTTTTCATGAGTGAGTATATTTTTAAAATTTAAACATTTATTTTTTATCATACTTGTATGCACTTATCTGCACTGGTCTACTATGGAAGAACAGTAACCACTTACTCAATGTAACCATTCATAAAAACAAGTAATTAAGTAAAAATACATTGCATTTTACCTTAGAAGGTCGTGCATCTCTGGATGTAGGCTGGCCATCTGCTGGGCTTGGCGACACTGGCGTTGACTAAAAACAAGCAAAACAGTTTCGATTTAATCATTTTTGTCTATTTCTATACCAGAACATATCAGTAGAAGCAGTGGCAGTGGTGATCAAATATAATTGTCAATATGTGTCAAAATTAAAATCTGATGTTCATGTCACTCCTATCATAAAAAACCAAACCTAAATCCTGACTTCTGTCCAAATACTGGCAAATTTTTAACTTTCCTTTCTTATAAAAAATACTTGAGACTATTGTGCGCCCACGTCAATCTTTTCCTACAGGAAAATCAGCTTTTTGGTAAAATGCTGTCTGCCTATCGTCGGTTTCACAGCACAGAGACTGCATTTATCCGTGTTCAAAATTATCTGCCGCTGGCAATTGACGAACAACACGATGCCTTTTTGGATTATTCCTCAGCTATTAATACTGTTGACCGTTCTATTTTGCTCCATCAATTATCCACATATTTTGGTATCACAGGCAAAGCCAATCTGTGGATTTCCACATACCTTTCCTACCTGACCCAATCTGTGGTTGTTGGTGGCATCTCATCTTCTTGCCATCGCCTTGCTGTGGGGTTCCACAGGGGTCAGTCGTTGGACCGTTACTGCTCATTCTTTACACTAACCCTCTTGAAGATATTGTGTTATCTCATGGTTTAGGCTATGTGATGTACGCATGTGACAAGCAAGTGTATATCAATTTTTATCCTATCGAGCTCTCTCACTCACTTTCTAAGCTTAATTCTTATGTGGGTGACTTCAAGTGCTGGTCATCTATAAGAAAGCTCACTTATTGTCCAAGAAATGGAATTAATCCATTTTAGCTTCTGTAATTGAGCCCCTGAAGCGATGTCTTTATGGCTGTATGATTCTTGTGTCTACTGCCCCCAACGAGGGCGTAGACACTATGTCATGATGTAGCAAATAAAGATGGCAGAAAAGGGTGAATCCGGTTTAGACATGATGAGTACTACTATCACCAGGCAGGGGGCACTCTATTGACAATCAAATAGCGTTCGGAACTCAAACAAAATTGCGTTCGAAGAAAAATGAATGAAATGATAAGGCAATTATAAGAACGGAATAAGAACAGAATAGGAAAGGAAAGATTAGAAACTGTAAGTGAGGAAAAGAAAAGGAAGATTTGGGAACACACAATGAAATAGGAAGGAAATAGAAACAAAAGGGAAAGAAATAAGACTTTGGGATGAAAAAGGCAAGTTATAACAGGCTATGACATGAGAAGAAAGCAACACACTATGAAAGAATCTCTAAAAACCGGTGTGTGGGCCAAGTTGAATAAATTGTTACAATTACCAAACTACTGTATTATTTATAAATAAGCATCAAACTAATTGTTAAACTAAACCAAAACCCAAAAATATTGGATAAATAATTAACGGTACATATTGTACATTTGTATATAGTTTATTTTCTTCTCTGTTGTTAAACGCCTCAAGGTTGTGACAATAACAAACAAGCATTTTTAAAGCGCTCTATACAATAAGGTCTCAGAGCACTAGCTAACTGTGCAGAACTCGATTCTCCTAGAAAAGATGGCACTTCAGTTGTTTTTGAAGACATCAAGAGATAACGAATCAAGAGATATTTACGAATGAAAGATGGAAAGTCATTCCAAAGAGCAGGAGCAGCAACCACATGGATCTCGATCCATACTTTGATTTTAATTTGTTAGGTTGAAGAAGGTGTTCAGGACTTCAGAATCCTAGGTGATAAACTAAAAATATGGTAGGAAACATATGATGGAGATTTCCCAATTAAAGCCTTGAAAGTAAGTAGGAGGATCTTAAGCTGTATGTGTTTCTTGATCGGCAACCAATAGATATCACGCAGAACAGGAGACACATGCTCGCGCTTCTTAAGCTTGACCACCAATCTGGCAACAGAATTCTGCAGACGCTGTAATTTTGCTAGTTGATAATCAGGCAGACCAATACGTAAGGCATTGCAGTAATCGATGCTAGATGTAAAGAATGCATAAATAAGCCTCTCACTTGGTCAAGATACTTCCGGATTTTGCCAATTTTGAGAGGGCAAAATTGGCAGAACTACAGATTGTGTTTAGGTGCTTGGCCATTACTAATTTGGAGTCCATAGAGACACCAAGACTACAGGCACAGGGTGAACCACCTTATCACCAAAAGTAATAGGGGTGATGATGTGTTTTAAGAAAGTGAGATGAAACATAGATGACTTCTCATTATTTAGTTTAAGTTTGTTGATTACCATTCAGTTTTTTATCTCCTTCATAGTCTTGGATTTCTGCAAATGTTTGTGGCACATCAGAAGAGAGTGATGTGGTGCACATTTGAATGTCATCAGCAAATGCCATAACATTAGGATTGTATTTTGAAATAATATCAAAAACTGGGGCAATATACAAATTAAATACAATGGGCCCTAAAACGGAAACTTGTGGTACACCGCAAGACAATATAAACTCAGATGAAAGTTACCTATGGAAAGAAATTTGGTACAGTCAGTGAGATAGGACACAAACCACTTATGGGCTGTTCCACGTACCTCACAATGATGCGAGAGCCGATGTAACAAAACACCTTTGTCTACTGTGTCGAATGCAGGGAAGATCAAAAAGAGCAACAATGCCTTCCTTTCCACTGTCTACAGCATACAGAAGATCGTTGTAAACATGCACTGTTTCAGTACTGTGGTGTTTTTTATATGCAGACTGACACATAGCATGGAGTTTATTAACATCAATATGCTTCTCAATCTGCTCCACAGCTACCGGCTCAAGCAACTTGGAAATAAAGCATTAATTAGAAATGGGCCGATAACTACTAGGAACACTCAAGTCTAATGATGGTTTCTTAATCACAAGAGTAATACATGCTTTCTTCAGACGTAATGTTTGGAACCCTATCATACCTTCATTCTTGCTCCCATTACAAACTTTTACATATGTAGTAGTATGAGCATTTATTCCATTTATTACCCACCTTGATTTCCTGGCCTTGAGTTGATAATAAGCCTAGTCTAAGGCCTAGCTTGGCAAGGGACAGACAGGTATGTACTGTATACTGACCTGAGAACGTTGTTTAACACGTTGGCTGCCAGCGACAAGTATACTCGCCCACAGGGTGTTGCTGAGGGCGCCAGGGACGAGGAAACTCATCAAAATAGGGGTAACATCCTAGCACAGGGGTGGGCATGAAAATTGGTTTGAGGGTCAAAATGAATTTTTGATTTAACACCAAGGGCCGCACCTAAACCTTGATGTTTACAGTCTGCTTCAAAAATCCTTAATGCACTGCTTTTATACCACTTTATTCTCAGTTTTAACATTACTTTTTACTGATGATCGGTGTCGGGCCGTAAAAAACAAGGTGTGTTCTAGCAATTATAACTTCTTTGCTATACATTATAGAACCACAGATTCAATGGCTGGTAGTTTGGGGAAGATACATCTAGACGATAACGTACAAATGACGTATGTTTGTTTGTTTGTTGTGTTATGTTGCCGGTAGTACACTCAAGCGGCACAAGAGAGGCGCCCATTGAACATACACCGACCCATGCAAAAAGGAGACAAGATAACTCGCACTTGGCACAGCCATAAAAAAGTTTATTGTTTATAATCACCTTTAAAACAGTTGAAATTAATTTTTGGTGTAATTCAGTGATTTATAATGACCAAAATATCATTTCTGATTCAACATTCATGATCTTTGCGCTCTCCAATACTTACAGTACATTAAACATAGAAAATGTGAAATGAAAGTTATTCGCGGCATGACAGTCGATGTGTCTGTGATGATTTATTTGAGGCATTTCGTCAATAAATCATTGCTTTAAACTGGGTGTCTGGTTTTTAAAAGGTGAATTTCTGTTCAGGCATTTATTCAGCCGGAATTTAAATTGATTTACTTAAGTTCTTTAATCCTATAGCTTTAGGTATGACCTACGTAAAGAAAGCAATTCTATTACAACAATCCAATGCCATCCTCTCATACTCAGCATCCTCCTTTTTATAATCCTGGATACACCACTGATACATAATGATAAAGTCCCAAAAATAAGTAAGAAAAAACGAAATGTTTGTACTAGTAAAACTGCTTACCAACTGTTTTCCTGTCCAATCAAACTCATTGTCAACAGCATAACCTTTTCTGTTGTATAAGTCTTGGAATATTTTTCGTAAGTAGCTGTAATCAGGAGTTTCAAAGAAATCTAGCCGTCGTACATACTTCAAATATGTTGACATTTCTTCTGCAATTATAATTTAAATATAATAATAAATTCAAATGATTTGCTAATCAATTCAATTTTTATTGTCACACACACTAAATACGGTTTGAAATTCTGCTTGTTTGTTAACAGATTAAGAATAAAAATATACTTATTGAAACAATCACATAATAAAATTTGCTGCAGCAAATGATGTTATCTGTTGTTGTTATGTTGTTATCTGAAATAATATCAAGTACGTAACTGAATTTTTTTTCTGAGGTTTATTATTATCTTATAAGATTTATATAGCGCACATATCCAATTATCGAAGAACTAAACAACATGCTTTGAAACATTGTCTATGTGTTGTGGTGCATGCTAGATCTGTAGAAGTCCAGTTTGGAAATATGTTAAAAATATCTTTACCAAAATGTAATTTAACAACCATTTCATCTTTTGCCACTGATGTTATATATAACATCCAATCCAAAACAATTTTTAGTGTCTTATCTATAAAATGTTGTTTATTAGACAACCAAAAGTCTGAATAAACAAAGGGACTCCCCCAATTGTCTATGTGTTGTGGTGCATCTAGATCTGTAAAAGTCCAGTTTGGAAATATGTTAAAAATATCTTTACCAAAATTTTTTCTAATTTAACAACCATTTCATCTTTTGTCACTGATGTTATATATAACATCCAAATCAAAACAATTTTTAGTGTCTTATCTATAAAATGTTGTTTATTAGACAACTAAAAGTCTGAATAAACAAAGGGGCTCCCCCAATGCTAACAGGCGGAGTCAGATACCGGTATTGCTATTGCATTTTACTAACTTTACAAGTTAGGCCTAGCTTATGCCTAGGCCTAACTAGATAAAGGTCTGTCTAGGCCTAGTTGGTAGACTAGGCTACCTAAGTAAATTATAATATCAGAGTTGCTGTGGGGACTTTGACTGTTATAGCAAAGTAATGGACTGCACGATGTCATTGATTCTAAACACCCTCACATTTTACGTTTTCATTAGCATAAAAAGGTATTATACTATAGTTTTTAATAAATATTGCAAAAGTGGATGTTGATGGTGAAATCAGTTTGTGCTTAGGCTAACTTGCCTTGAGATAATGGTTGCTCAAAATTGCAGTACAGTATGATATCAGCTGTGGAATTCCAAACGAACTGGACAAGATGAAGATTTATGGGTCACTCTTCTTATATTATCCTGGACAATGTGTAGACCTATATATTTCTGGAGCTAGGACTAATGATAAATCTCCTTAATGTTTGATTTTTAATATAGGAAACATGTTGGCTGCCGGCACCTTGACCTCTGGCTATTAGTGCCAACAAATTTTCACAAAAACGTGATGGAATAATGACAAGATGATTATTATTATTTTCAGATGCTCCAAATTTCTTTCTTATTCTTCCTTTTTTCTATGCTTTCTTCCTTATTTTCGTTAAATTTAATTTACTATATTAAATACATATTTACGCATAATATTTATATAAATATATACTTATTTATATACTTATTTATATAAATATATAAATAAGTATATCATTTCGATTAAGTATATTTTAACTGGACTCTAGAACTATGCCTGTGTATACATTGTGTCTGTATTTAACATAATTCAATCTTGTTGCTTTATTTAAATATTAACAAATAATATTATAAACTTTAACAATTACATTATTTCATGTAATATATTTTTCAAATAAATATTTAAACAATTTTAATTAATTAAATATAAACTCCAAAAGTAAATTTACGTAGATTAGATCTATAAAAATGGACATAGTAGTGATCCTTATCTATTCATTAACAAGAATAACATTTTCAATCTTCTAATTAATTTTATATAGCCGGAGTTAGTTTCGACCTAGGCAAACCTTGCTAAAAAGGTACAATTTGTTCATCAAAAGGCATTTTCTATGAATGGAATGAACTGTTCGAAGCACTCCTGTAGACCAAACGCAGACCCGTAGTGTGACTTCATTTGTGGGAGGTTCGTTTCAGTAGAAAGTGGACCCTTTGGCTTTAATGATCTCCGATACTCTGGAAAACATTTTAAATATATATCTACAAATATCAATTTTTCCTTTTTAAATGCAGACCTTCTCCAGTTTTTGGGCGGTTCGTTGTAGCCCCCTTAACCCGCTAATGCTACGGGGCTGCCAAACACAATTTAATCGTGCGGGAAATCCACTCTTGTGCTTTGCTAGTCCATTGTTTACATCCAGCACCCATTATAGGTCACATCATCAGTCGTGGAATCTATTAGCCAAACTTTCTGTAGCATCTACGGACGATCCGTAGAACTTGAGAACTCTGGGATAGACCTATTCTGGGCTATAGAGGGTTGGACTACAATAAAAACTACGCTAAGCAAACTTTTGCTCTGTTGTTTTTTTTTTTTCAGCACTATCTGTTTTTTTCCCCTTCATTTTACATGTTTGAAGTGAAATTAAAGAAAAAAAATCTAATCATTGTGAAAGAAAAATTTGTCCAAGTCTTATTTTAATGGTGTAGAAAACAAAAAAAAATATGTAACTCTACTAAGATCCAACCATTGTTCCCTCAAAGTAATGTTGTTTTCACATTTCTTGCCTTTTGTTTTATATAATACATATTATTATAAAATAATAATAAAAAGACTAAACTCTCTGTTTTTCATCTACTCAGACCATAATTATTATATCCATTTAATTATCCATCTTCTATATACTGTATATACCTGGATACTTGTCACACAGCACTTCAATGGGTGTGGCTCTCTTTGTGTCCCCTATTTTCTGGTAGCGTTCTTTCAATGTGTCAGCCTAAAAAACATGTATAAATGTTGGCAATATCTTTCAAAAGAATTAAATACAACATAATGTAATCATAATCTTAAGATGCTAATAAAGGTTGATGAAGATGATGGTAATTCTTATAATCAGGGTTTAAGCTGGCAAAAATCTTTTATAGCAATTTGGCTAATTTGGAATGAAAATAATTAGCCAAATTGAGTTTTGATTCGCCAGACCAAAGAGTATTGCAAGAGGCCTCACTGCCCTGATTCTGTATGCACGTAATGAAACGTTTAAAAAAGTGATATTGAAGGGAGTTAGCCGTTAACACTGTTGAATAAATATACTGTAATATAAATCATCAAAGGTACATATACAGTGTTTAATAAGGACATGATGGAACATCGTAGGCTACCCTGTAGCTTTCCAACGAATAAAGTCATATAAAAGTCATTGTGTAATAAAATGCCTCCGACGGGATTCAAACCTGCGTCCTCTCGCTGACAAGGCGAGCGTCATAACCACTAGACCACGAAGGCTTCATGGTTGAACAGGTCCAAATATCCACCGAGAACATTGCTACGCCTCAAGAGGGCGTTCGGCCAGATAAATCTGGCAATGCAGCTAGAAATACTGTTGTATATTATATACGATATTGAAGGGAGTTAGCCGTTGAAACTGTTGAATAAATATACTGTAATATAAATCATCAAAGGTACATATACAGTGTTTAATGGATGGTTTAAAAAAGTAAAATTTTCAATTATTGATTCTTTACTTAATATTTATGTACATAACACATATTAATGATAGTTAAAACAAAAAACTGTGCACAAAAAATATTACTTCATTCATTACCTTTTTGGCAAATTGGGAGTGAACAAGATAGAAGTGGCAAGAAAGAAAGAACCATGTGAAAATGAAGATTTACAAAAGTTATTCAAAGAACAAAAAAGTGTAAGGACACAAAGGAACTGAGAAAACAACAGATGAAGGTAAAACAGAGAACACAAAAATTGAGAAAGAATTTTCCATTGCCAAGAACTACAAGGTCATCAAAACCAAGTCCAAACTGAGAATACAAAATGATTAACTAAAAAAGCATTTTGAATCACATTTTGCTGGTCAGCCAAATCTAATACCTGTTCCACCTGAACTTGATACCCAGAAATGTATCCTGATCTCATGGATAAGAGAGTTTACCAAAGGAAGATGGGATTATAGAAGCTATAAAGTCCTTCAAGAATGGGATGAGTTGTGGTACAGACAAAGTCAAGACAGAAATTCTAAAATATAACTAACCAGTGTCTAGTAAAATTTCTACTTGCATTAATCACCCCCATATGGAAAATGGTTAAAGTACTTACTGCAGTAATATTACCTGCATTTATAAGAAAGGCAACATGAGTGAGGCTAGAAATTATAGGGAAATCTTAATTGGTGCAAACTTTGGAAAATTTTATCGATGATCATCACTTGGCGACAGAAAAAAAACATATGAGAGTAGCATAAGGTAGATATTCCCCCCGTGCCCCCTACTGGATCCGCCCTTAAAAAATTATAAGATGGATTCTTTTTGCAGATTCTAAAAATCGGCAGAGTGTGAAAAAATGTGAGAGATTTTGTGTACCGCAGCCAAACTGTAACTAACAGAACTGATTCTGGTTTCACTAAGTTACATATTTCATCAGCTTTCGGCAAATTTCAGCAACTGAAGAATTATCTTAATGACAGTAAATATGGTAACCAGAAGAAGGGTTGTTGAGGCATGCGTAAGAGCGAAGTTGTTGTATGGAATGCAGACATGAATCATCTTGGTAATCAATGTTGAGAATAATGGTTAGAGGAGGGTTTAAAAGGAAGGAAGATATCATTGAGCAACAAGAAAGCACTACACAAGATTGCAGTCTCATGTATCGCAATACTGACGTTGAAACGATTATTTGTTCAGTTTCACTACGCAACTTTTAAATGTACAGTGCAATACCTAAGATTTGTTGGACACATATGCAGGGGACCAAATACATCCGTAACCAAAAGAATGATGTTTGTTACAGCAAATAAACCGTATTACAGAGACCCATGGATTAAAATTGGAAAAATGCTAGGAATAGATGCTGACCAGGAAAACAACTCAATCAAGAGAAACTTCCAATGTTCTAGATGATGTCAGATGGAGGAACACTCATTGCTTCCTTTTTGTCAAAAAGGGGCAGAAATGTAGGCCTAACCTAGCTCATAGTACAAGGATTCATCGTCTAGCCAGACTACAGTAGTAACTGTGAAGCCTGTTTACAGGCCTACTGTACGTTGTAGTAGGCCTAGGCAGTACGTGCGCATCAATCATACAAATCCTTGCCAGCATTTGTGTTGACACACAGTGAAAATATGTCAAAATCATGCCTATATTTAATCAGTTATAACGCCTTAGGATGAACAGTGATCCCCCACCTTTAATAACATATTCAGGAAGCACATGAGTTGCAGTTGCATTATAGCTGATCGCACATTGTGACATCATCATATTGCCATCTGAATTCAAAAAACTGAATTTTGATCTATGATGTCATTATTTTTTTATACTCATTTGAGCGTATCTTGCTTATCCTTGATTGATCGTCTCTAACCTTTGAGTATGTTATAGCCGAGACAATTTCCTTTCCCAAATGTGTCCTTCATTTTTCATTTTGAGTCATCTCAGGGCCAATCACAATGTCGTACGCGCGCATTAAATATACAAATCCTTGCGCATGTTTTTGTTGACCTACAGTGAAAATTTGAGTACTTGAAGTAGGCAAACTGACCAGCCTTGGTAAAATCACAAGACCACAAATCACAAATGCAAAGAAAAAATAGTACTGTACAAACTAGACATCAACAAGTCAATTAAAGGAGGCGCATCAAAAACCTACTAGAGGAAAATCAAAACAGGGTAAAAATAAACTTGACAAAATACTTGATAAAAAAACTTGAGCAAAAGCGATATAAAAAATTGCTAGGCCCGAAAAGAAGCCACAAGCTCTAAGTAATCCAGAGGAAAAATTCAAGCTATGTCCTTTCAACTTGAAACATAATACATGGTGAAGCTATCATGTATGATAAAGTTTTTACTTCTCTTGAACTGCTTTGTTAAATTTAGCTGCGCTAATAGGAATACCAATCTTGGGAGTTTTTCAATAGTTCTGTTTCAGGGTTCTATTTTAGATCTGAATCAGCGGCGTAGTTAGGTGAGAACGGGCCACAGTGCAAGATTAATTGCCTGGCCCCTTGATGTGAAGCGTCAATAGAGGGCCTTAGGAGGTTCTGGTTCTGGTTAGTAAGGCTGACCTCTTTAGGAGTAAAGCAGGAGGGTAGAAATAGAGTCTAATGATAGGTAAGGTTCACCACCGCAGTTTAGGACGCGCAGCGTCAGTCATGAGCAGCCCTGCCTTACCACCTCAGGCTGCATTGGACCTGATACAGTAGGTAGGAAACTCGCAATCAATCTTTGCAAAGAAAACCACATTTGGTAGTGAAATCTCGGAGCGCTTAGGGGTGTGATGGGAGCTGATTTTGAAAAATTTGGAACCCAGGCCAGCTGCGGCCCCCTTGAGTCCACCACTGAATTGAAATATAAGAAGTTATGAACAATAATTACTCCTCTTCAGGGGCCTTTTTATCAATAGGTCTCTAATAGCACTGTCTACACTGCCTGTCCCTATGCCACTGATCTGAATGTTGTAGCCACTAATAATAATAATAATAGTGTCCTTTTATATAGCGCACATATCCATCTAATTTAAGATGCTCAGGGCGCTTGATATGTGGACTAGAAACTCGATCAATGACTTTCTTCGCCCCTAAGGGTCCCTTCCTGTCTGTGCTACCCGGTAACCCAGTACCAGCAAATCTTGTCGTCCACCACAGGGGCTGTCTGTTCAAGTACACCGGGTATCCCCCTACTCGTCTCGAAGGATGTACTGGGTTCTATAGTGCACACGAGCCATTGTATACACTAGGCCTACGGTTTATAGTCCTTATCCGAGAAGACTTGTTCTACCACCAGAACCAAAGGCGAGCGTGCCATTCGAACCAACGCCGATATTATGGCTATAGCTTGAGGCGCCCCAGCTAACCCCTCGGCCATTCGACTCACCACTACATCATAACACTTTTTTTTTGCTTGTTTGAGACACACAGTGAAAAAATAGAGTGATGGAACTTACCTTCAAACCTTGCCAAGGCAGACTACCTCTCAAGAAGTACATGAACATGTGACCAAGAGCTTCTAAATCATCTCGTCGACTTTGCTCTGTAGAATGCATGTAAAACAAATTGTGAACTAGCAATTAAAAATACTAGAATAAAAAATAGCAATCATTACGGTATACTGACAGTTAAAAAAGACAGGTCCAGGAGACAAGCATGTATACAGTTACCTGAACAAGTTAATATAATTATAATACGCATTCAGCCATCGGCAATAGTAATGATTTTGTATGATGCAAACCAAGACAGTAGCCGTGAGCATTTTCGTGGGCAAAGAAAGACACGGAAGCAGTGGCCTGGGGTTCAATTTGAATCGTGTCTCGCGTTCAATTTGCTTCAGTTGCCTCTGGTACATACTGAACTTGGATTGTGCGAGGTGATATTGTTTGAGACGGGTGGCCATGGGATTGAAAGGGCTCAAACATTTTTTTTTTAGTAGGCATCATTTGTTACAATCTGGCAATAAGGTGAATTCTCATCATCAGGCCTGTTACCATGCTTAATTTTGGATTTTAGTGCCAAATTTGATTAAACAAATTGCATATTTTACATGTTTTTACCCAAAAATGGTATTTTAAAGCTAGTCCATCACTGGAAGATTCAACAGACTGAATTAGTCACTAAAGATGACGTCATCAAAATGTGGCCGAGTGGGTACTAAGAGTTGTTTGCATCATAAAGTCCTATGCTAATGCATTGAGCGTAGTTGAAAGTGGTGTCTATTAATTCTTCTTTGTAATGAAGTTAGCATAGAAGATACTTCTTACAAAACAATGAATCAATCATTTTGAATGATTCATAGATTCATGAGATTACGGTTGATTTGATTTAATTTTCCATTCAGACTAAAAATATGAAGAATTTCAAGAGTTCCTTCTAGGCCCATCACTCGCAGGACTCGCCACATCCAGCACTGGTGATCGCTGTTGATTTAGAGCTACATATTTAGCTTAAATACTGTCACCAAGTCGTTGCAATTTCTGTATGAAATATTTAACTTATTGAACAAACTTAAATTGCTAAATTGTAGAATAAGATGTTTCTTTTGACTATGATGGCCAATGAGTTAGAAGAATGTTGTTTGTATGACACTCTAGTCTAGGGCTAGGCCAGTGTTCACGCAACAAGGCTATGCAAATATTTTAACGTTTTCCATTTGTGTCTTTTACTCGATTTCAAATCTAAAGGGTCAAATATTGTGACGTTAATAAAGAAATATTTACCACTTAGCTTTTCAATGTTATTTTACGAAAAAATGTACAAATAAATAAGTTTGAGGGGTTTAAAAACTGTCAAAGTTTACTCAAGCTTATTATTATTGTATGAAAAAACTGCCATCTAGCAGTTTGCTTTGATGTTATACCCACTATAACGGCTTTGGTTTGGTGACTAATTCAGTCTATTGAAATAAATATGGTATGATACGAAAGCTTTTAAAATTATCTACTGAACGATGTATGATCACACATTATATTAATTTAGTGCCCAGAAAATTAACAAAAAAAACATATTTTTCGCTAAATTTAATAATACATGTTTTATTAAATAAATACGAAAAAACTACTAAACCTGTTCGTTACTGATACTTTCACAAAAGTTGACCACATACAAAATAGAACACCAATAAAAATCCAAAATTCAGCATGACAACAGCCCATTCTATCTTAGCCAAAGCCTGGTGTTAAGAATTCTCACGTTTTTGAGAAAGCATCAGATGAAAAGTTTGTTTGTATTTTTCATAAATAAACATGTATTTTAAAATTTAGCCAAAAAAGTTTTTTGGTAATTTTTGGGTCACATCATCAACATAATGTCATCATACACATCATTTGATAGATAATTTTAATAGTTTTCATATGATACCAAATATACTCAAATTGGGTCTTGTTTAGTAAGATACTAGCTTCAAAATACCATTTTGGGGTCATTTTTGCTGGAGGTAACCTTCGACATACCGTAACTCCAAAATAATAATGGATAATGTCTGAAAATTGTATAGGTGTTTTAAGACCTTATCTGAGAAGACTTGGTTCTACCAACTTGGCCCTGGGCGAGGAGCAGCTGGAATAAGCGGCACCCCTGCCTTACCGCTTGGCTGCTTTACTCGCCCAGAAAAAAAAAAGAATTTTGCAATGTTTGCTAACAAAATGTTTCATCATATACTGCACATCATTCGATGGATAATTTTAATAACTTTCATATACCAAATACTGTATATTGAAATTGAATCTTTGCTTCAAAATAATATTTTTGGGTAAAAAATGTAAAATTTGCCATTTTTCAGTCAAATTTGGTACTTAAACAGCCCATTCCAGAAACTGGGGATGAGGATTCACCTTATGAATAAAAAACATTGGATAAAACTCGGAAAGAGGGATAAATCTGACAAAACAGGAAACAAATAATGACAATGGGTTCAAGTGACAGCATTCACCAACTTAAAAACATCGACCGGACATACTGTCATGGTTTCTGTACCTTGTAATAAGTTTTAAAATTTTTAAATATATTTATAGCTCATTAGACAATACATCTGAGCTCTGTCCGAAGTCCTAGGTATGTTACATACACTTCTGGAAGCCTAAACTGTTACAGGTAAGCTAAACAACGATGGCTTCCTTCATAAATCTCTTTTGGAACGTTAGCATAAACTTCCGGTGTTTTTCAAATGGTCCCTTTTATCCCCCTCATCAATGAACTATGTAGGGGAAGTTATCACATTAACTCCTACTGACTTAAAAAATTAGATGGGTATTGAGCTAAATGCTTTTCTAATTTCATAAATGGTCACATGCATGCAAGGACTTGTACAATGGCAGTGCACTTGAGTTAATCTGAAGTTTTTTTTAGCCAACTTAAAAAATACAATGAACATATCTCCATACCTTTTCCAAGATGCGTATTGATACTCATGTATCTAGCTGTTCCTGTAAGACTTTTGTGTTCTCTGTATGGTATGTGTTTGTTGGTCTCTGGGTCGATGTACTCCTTGGCAAGGCCGAAATCAATAATGTGTATCGTGCTTTGATGTTTCCCCGACTGTCTGCCTATTAGGAAGTTCTCTGGTTTTACATCACGGTATATGAGATTTTTACTGTGAACATATTCTATTCTGTGTAGCTGGAGAAGATAAGAATAAGATAAAATAATCAATTAATTTCTTTGCACAAAATGTCGTTTTGTACCCCCAGTCCAGTGGCAGACCTAGGATCTATTAAATGGGGGAGGGGTTAATGGCCACAACAATGGCCATTGAGGTGTGTAGCATGGAGCACAGGGAAGATTTGGGCGGGGTATCCCTCCCTATAATACAAAATTTAGGTATTCAACCTTTTAAGATTGTGGCAGTTCCAATCTTCTGCGGCAGGCAGACAAATTGTGTACTTCTAATTTTTTCAGTGTTAGTCTCACCAATCATCATTTATAGCAGTGGCGAACCCAGGGATTCAAAATAAAGGGGACCACGGAAGGACTTTTACGGATGGGGAAAATACCACATAGCGTCACTATTGCTGGGGCTGAGGTAAGAAAATTTATGATTATGGCACCTCTAGATGGCCGGAAATGGCAAAAATTTGAATATAATTTAGTTTTTTTCTCCTTTTTTTTATTATTTTGAAATTTAGGGGAAGGGAGGCCAGCTGCCCCTTTCCCCTTGTATCTACCACTGTATAAGTCTTTCTAACAGGCCTACTATTAGCCGAGTTTTTCAACATCAACTATGATAGGCCTTGTTTTAAAAAAAATCAGGAAATGCAGTAACATGGGCAGGAGTGGAGCATAAACAAAAAAACTATACCCTGCCACTAGAAAAAAAAAAAAAAAAATCCACACATATACTAAGTAGTTAAAAACAATGCCAGCACAAGAATTCCTTAACGAGCAGTCTCATACCCCCAAAAAGGGCCCACATTTAGCTCAGCCCCACCATGGTTGGGGCTTGATTGGATTGGATTTATGATTGGGCAACACACCGGAAGACACCCTACTCTTTTCCGAAGAGTGCACTGCACTCTTTTCCATACACATGGGTCATAAATGCACACGGACCAACAGGGGCGACGCCAGCAGTTCCCCGACGGGGTCCAGCTCCCCGACAAGGGGGTCCAAGCTCCCTGACAAGTGGTCCACCCCAGCCTCCCCGTGGGAGAAAATTGTGTTGATTATGGTATTTTTTTTATCGTGATAGTGTACACACCTCGCACATAACGGAAAATTGTATTTTCGGCAATCGAGATTTCATTTTCCCCGACAACCTTGCTGGAAATTCCCTGACAGGGGGTCCAAGCAGAGGGTTCAGAGGCCCCAACGGGGGGTCCTTTTCCCCCTGGACCCCTGCTAGCGCCGCCCCTGGGGACCAACAGCTTGAATTAAACATCTCATTCGAAAGACGGCGCGCTATTGTACTTGTACTTGTATTATAACTTGTATTTCAGCCCTCCAGCTGATACACAAGGTGTGGCAGCGATGGGAATTGAACCGGGGACCAAGAGATCTCCACGGTTTAGCGCCAGATTAGCCGACTGAGCTAAGCTGCTTTCGAGGTGAGCAAATTTTTAAAATAAAAACATCTAGATTTCTAGAAATAGCACTTTCAGACTGTAAAAATATGTTTTTAAAGCAGTGTTTTCAACAAAATGACATGACCTGAGCCTGCTCCCAGGATCCATGATATAATAGCCCCCTTGACAATGGCAACGTGAGCGTTGTTAGTGGTTAGAGCTGGTGTGATTGTGTTGTTACGTGTATTGAACATTAAAATGTTTAATAAGAGTCATAGTATGCAGTCATGTCTGTATGCAGCATTATAGACTTGAAAACTTTAAAAAAATTTGTTTATGTTGGCTCAACAGCTACAATAGGAAAGGTAATATTTATAGATTGATGTGTGGGTTTGTTGAATGCCAAAATGTTGTTCTTATCAGGGTTGTCGTGTATTTCAAAACATGTTGAAATATATACTGTAATTATGAAGCGGTTTATGAATTAAATAGACAGTTTTGTGAGTGTAAAATTTGTAGCGCAGAAGTATTCAAAACTGTCTAGTGCTTGATGCTCAACGAAATAATCCTAAAAAGCCAACTCGGATCCACGCCCACCTTTAGGAATCCCCACCGAATATTGGTACAAAAACAACGTACATTCAATCAATAAATGTTGTTTTTATCAAACGTAAATATGATTTAGGCCTAGCTTTTAGTTTAATGTACTGTACCATTCGATAGATTTGCAGAATATAAATAATTTGCTAACGGTAGACCAGGCCCAATTATGCTCAGGCCAAGCCGTCACTGTAAAAGTGGCTGTCCTAAATAATTGTAGGCCGTCAAAAAGACGGCCGAACGGCTCGCTGGCTAAGCCTATGCTTGCATAGTAGAACTAAGCCTAGGTGGGAAGGACGCTAGCCAGCCAAGGCCTACAACATCGCCCAATTGAATCCACCTGGGCTGCGTAGATCGTAATGCTTATCTAAATCTATTATTTGTCTTCATTTTACAGTATTATTATATTTAAAATGTTTTTTTAATATCTAAAAACAACAAAATTCAACATATTGTAGGCCTAATCCTACTGTCCGTTTAAATGCAATCACAATCGCATTGTGACTTCACTACTGACAAGTACTGTACATGTGTGGAAAATCCCTGATAGATTATTCTGGGCATGCGCACAGACATGCATGGGCAATTTTGAAGCAGCCTGTGATGATACGATCGGAGCTTTTACTAAAGTGATATTTCCCATGCCAAAGATAACGATAAAACAAATGCTAAAATGAAATTTATTCGGCGATTTTCTTATGTAATACATATGGATTATACTACACTATTAAATTAATACAATTACGACCATTCTTTCACCAGCAGTATATTGATTTTAATAGAGAGATTAACAAAATCATAATCTGTAGATGACGATGTAAGGTCAAGCTTTCGGAAAAATCGTAGTTTATACTATATAGGCCTAGGTAGTAAAAAATTGCCGAGGCTGCCGACCTCGGAGAATTCCAGGTTGGCAAATTTTGCCGACCTAATTTTTTCGAAATTTCATGGGCTGGTAGAACTTGTAAGCCACTGTGGTCGGAGTAGGAACTCAGTATTTGAGTTGATGATCACGTCAGAATATAAGTGTGGCAGGAATAACCTGTGACACGAATTCAATATTTATTGGGTAATGGTGGATTTTATAAAACATAACTCTGTGCCACAATTCGTCTTACATGGAGTGAGTCCTAACCAAGGTTGGTAATCATGGGTGTTACATGTGTTGTCCGTCGATATTCAGCATAAAACAATCATGCAGCTGCTCTTTGAATGCGCGCAAGTTGTTCCACTAAAGTTGTTGTGCGAGGGTTCCAGAATTCAGCTGCGTACTCAAGTCGTGGACGAACCAGGGACTCCTTTGCTCTTTGTTTAATATGTGAGCAAGGCGTAATGTTCTGTAGTGTCCGGTTTGCCTTCTTCATTGTATTGCGGCATTGTATATCCCAATGCAGGTCACTTGCAATAGTTACGCCCAGGTAGTTGTGATGGTCTCCTCTTGCTAGGGGATCACTACAGATGGAATATTGGTATTGGTTAGGTTTACGCTTGCTAGAGACTGTAACGATGAAGCATTTTTAACGTTAGACTCCATCAGCCATCTATTTGCCCAAATGGAAAGTGCCTTCAGATCAGATTGAAGATTTGATGAACTTGGTGGTTTTATATTTATCGGTAGACAATGATGTCATCAATAAACAGCCTTATATCCGACTTGATGTTGTCTTGGATGTCGTTGATGTAAATGAGAAATATTATATCCGACTTGATGTTGTCTTGGATGTCGTTGATGTAAATGAGAAATAAGGCTGGTTGTAGGACTGACCCCAAAAGGAAGTTTCCCCCTCCCCCCTCGTAGTAGTTGCCATTCCAAACTTGACAATAATGGTGTATATAATATTGTAGTTACATAAATTCTTGTATTTACAAACATTTTAAAATATATTTAATACCTCCTTGATTAGAATAAATAAAATATAATTTGCATTCGGCCATTACTTGAATATCTCTTGTATCGGAGAGTAAGAGGTATTTGTAAATAGAAAAAATCGTAAACTAGATCAAATCTCGGGTTAAAAACATTCACGAATGAACCGATGTTGCAAAGCATGGTCTATCGTGCTAGCCTAGCTAAATTTACCTTCAATAAAAACCAAGTAACTGCTAGCATCCAAAAATTAATCTGTATGTTTTATGGACCTTTCTAATGTGTTCTTCCTAGTTTTTGAATGTTGAATTGTGTTGTCTGCATGAACCTCGCGCTACCAATAATGTTTTGATTTGACTCAAACACATTGTTTCTATTCTCTGAACAATCTTTTCATGGCTAGGACAAAACACATTCATTTATTCGCATCGACTGTTTACGTTGCAGGCACCACAAAATAAAATCTTGTTTTATGGACCTTTCTATCATGTTCTTCCTAGTTATTGTGTTGTCTGCATGGACTTCGCGATCGTCTAGCCTTCACAATATCTACCATGTACTTCCAAGTTTTTTAGATCGTTGAATTGTGTTGTTTGCATGGACCTCGCGATCATCTAGCCTTCACAAAACTCATTCAATTATTCGCATGCAAGCTACCAATAACGTTTTGATTTGACGCCAACACATTGTTTTCTATTCTCTAAACAATCTTTTCATGGCTGGGCCAAAACTCATTCATTTATTCGCATTGACTGTTTACGTTGTAGGCACCACAAAATTAAAACATCTGAATGTTTTATCGACCTTTCTATCGTGTTCTTCCTAGTTTTAGATCATTGAATTGTGTTGTTTGCATTGACTTTGCAATCTAGCCTTCACGATATCAATAAGGTTTTGACCCCCACGAATTATGTGATGTGTATGACATCACTACCAGAAACAACTAGACCCATCGCGGACGTAACAGAGGGGAGGCTGATGCTCACATGTACCATTTCCAGTCTGTGATTGGTTGATATACACAACATGGAATACAGAGGCAGTTTACAATCTGACCAACAACGAAAAAGCTCTCATAAGAAACCCATTCCAATGGTAAAGAGACATACAAAAACATACAATTTCACATAAACAATATTTTTGCAAAAACTCTTCATACTTTAAATTCCCCAAGCCTTCTCTCTGTATATTGCAAGATCAGCCACATAGAGTCACAAATAAAGACCCTGATAGAAAATCAAGTGACTTCAAAATTCGCTCAAAATCATACTATTATCATACTAGAAAGCCGAATTCTGCATTAGATTTTTAGAAACAGGAGAGCTTTCAGACAAACGATTAAATTTATTTGGCATTTAATTATTATCATATTTATGCGGTATCAATATATAAAAACATACAATTTAAAACTTCACTTTCATAAAAGCTGCAAAAAATGTACTTATTTACGAAGTACTATAAACAGCATACAAACTCACCAACTGGATAGCTATGAGAAGAACTGTTTTAAGTGCAAATGTTCTGTCGCATAGATCAAATAAATCTTCTAAACTGGGACCGAGAAGTTCCATCACCATTGCATTATATTTTCCACAGGGACCAAAATAGTAAACTTGTGGAACTCCCTCTGAAAAAACATAAAACAAAATTTAATTTATGATTTTAAAACTAGGATGTGGAACTCCTTACAACACAAAATCCATAAATTCAATTGTTCCATGAACATAATATGATTAGCTTTAGTTTATAGCACTGGTTCCCAACTTTTTTTGCGTTTGTGGACCCCTCTGGACATGTCAAAAGTCTTTAAGGACCCTCCCCCCGACCCATATCTAAAATATATTACTCATTGTCCGTATCCCAACAATAAGATGAAATGTACAATGTTCCACCACAAACGTACATTAAACACAGTAGCGAATCCTGGAATACGATATAGGAAAATGTAGTACCTCAGCCCCCACTGTGGTTGGGGCTGAGGTACAACATGTTTTGTGTCTATGGCACTGGTAGATGGCCGAAAAAGGAACTGTCAGACTCGAAATTTGATGGTAATTTTCTTTTACCTCCTATTTAATGTTTAATTTGATTTGCCAAATTACGATATCTTGGATCTTAGAATTCGACATAGATAGGAGGAGTGGGGTTACAAACAGTAAACTTTACATATACAGGATTTATGCTACCTCATGGTTGGGGCTGAGGTAAAAAATGTATGTTTGTGGCACTTCTAGTTGACTGGAAATGACAGTGTCAGATTCAAAATTGGATTGTAATATTCCCTCCCGTCAAACAGGCCTGGACCCTTTTTGCCGAGACAATGAATCAAGGAATCAATTAATATTTATCTTCAATACCCAGGGGGGTCGGTAAACAGCACCACTCTATTCTGCACATACATGAAACCAATCTCTAACATCTAGTGTGAAGTTTCAATTGTACAGACGATACACAGGTCTATGTCAGCTGCAACCCAAATTTAATCGATGACATAAACAGAGCATTATCTTGTCTTGAAGATGGTATTAAAAACTTAAAGGTTTGGATGCACAATAATAAATTGAAAATAAATGATTCACAAACTGAAATGATAATTTTTTAACCCCCCCAGATTTAATTGCAACCTTCACGACATCAAGCTTGAGATAGGTGAAGTGGTAATACGCCCTACTATAAATTAGGCTGTTCCCTTCCCTTTGATGCTTGAGTAAAGTGGACTTCTTCACCGGAAGATTGTTTTAGATAGGCCATTACTGTTTGGAGCTTCCAAATTTTAAAAGTATTCATCACAAAATTCATTTTAGGAACATGTACAAAAAAGGCTGAAAAATACATTATATAATTGCAAGATTTTAGGCACTTAGAAAAAAGGGGCTCTACAGTAGTTGATGATTAGTTTGTATTTAACAATTACACAACTACGTCATGGTGCAATGAATTCTGGCAATTCTTTTGTAAAGAGCTGAAACTTACCTGCTTGACCTAACATTTTGTAGAATCTGTATTCTAAGTGAAGCTGAGGAGCTCTGGACTTCATTGGTTCCTAAAATAAAATAGAGCATCATGGGGGAAACCCCTAATTAATTAGAAATTGGTATAAAGAAAAAATATTGGATACATAAGCATGTTACTAGCATATTAACAACCTTTTATTGAACTATACAGTTGCTGCTCAAGGTGGAAAAGGAAATGTCAGCAAATTATGTTCGTATCTTTCTTATACCACATCCTGAATTGCTATAAGCATACCAGAGATTGTAAACATTATTTTTTACAATGTGAAGGTGCAGGGCCAGCTTGACACATTACATTCTTGTGTGTTGTCTGGTGACAGTTGAAAGAGAACCAGTGTCTTCAGAGAATTGAGTGTATACACAGTGTATGCATGATCACTTATTAGGTGGACACAGCCGAGCCCTAGCATGGATTCTCTATTTCTCATGGTTCCTCATTACTGGCTGCCTCTTCTCTTTCTACTATGTGTACTGTAGTTCTCCAGACGATGATGATGGCCAGTTTTGTTGCTAGCAGGATTTGAGTGCTGGCTATTACAACATGGAGTCCAGGGGCCTGCTTAAGGGCTCTGCTGGGGTGCAGGGGCAAGCCTCGCTGGGGTCAATGGGGTGAAGCTCCCTTCGAATCTGAAAGGTTTTAGATGTTTCATAATGACTTGGAGAGCTCTCCCACTTCTCTCCTCTCATATTTTTACATAAAATTTTCACAATTTATTATTTGTTTTTTATGTTATTTTTAGGTTTTTTTTTTCAGGAATACAACCACTTACTATATAGGCCTAATTATACTTAGGTATCAAGTATTATACCGATATAATTTTATTAAAAAGGAATCATTAAAGATGGACAGTAGCTTCGCTACGATTACATGATATAGGCCTATCCTGCTGTGACTCGCACTGGGGACAATATTCTGCTTTGGCGCAGCTTCACTAGTTGAACCGTCAGAAGTAGTAGTAGACTTATGTTCACTGTCAGAAACTATTCATTTTCGGGCAAAAAAATGTGTTATGTTTGATTGAGACATACTGTAAATGAACTAGAGCAACTTTTACCTAGGCCTAGGCCTCATTGAACGATTGTCTCAGTGCGTGAAAATGCATTACTTTTGATTCGGGAAAATCCTTTTTTTTTAACTATACATGTTCATGGAAATGCTGAAACGGGACTTACTTTATTCATATTACATTTTGATTGGGAACAAAATATGTTAAAATGTATTAATAAAATAAGTGATGGAAAGATATAGTATGAAACAACGAAGTTGAGGTTCAAGATTAATATAAAAACGTTTAAAACTATGTGGTCATCTTGGTTGAATGATTTCTTCAATCCTCAGTAAGCTATCTTCTAATTGGTTGAATGCTATAGAAAATGTAGGAATATAGTATACAGTAGTCTCATTTTTTCAAGGCAAACTAAGCGGGGAAGGTTAATTAATAGGGTCAGCCTAGGTAGTACTACTGTAGTAGTAGTAGCAGTCAGAGATAGACAGCTGGCAGGCCGTGTAGTGTTCGCCGCCGTTCGTGATTTGGAACTGTAGTAAGAATAGGTTGATAACCGGTGTAAAATAGGCTGTATCCCAAATCTCTCAGTCCTGGTTACCAAATGCTAGTTTCGATCATGCTGGTGTAGCTACAATGCTGATGATGGCAGCTTCCTGCAAGTATCATTCAGCAAGCCCATACAGAATGTTGTTAGTGATTTGATCACGCCAAATGATTTTAAGGGCAGCTCTTGGCATTCAGGTATATTTACTATTCACTGACTTCTCACTACATGACATGTGAATTACAACCATTCATGGTCCACTTTATTTGGTAATGGGGAAAAGAAGAGAATCATGAAAATCACAGGAAAAAGCTTTTTCTTTCCAGATAATTTTGAAGGAAGCATATCACTTTTTTAGGCTCTAGGCCTGCTGCCCTGTAGACCTCTGCTAGAATACAATCTGGGCCAACAGATGATGATGATTCTGTTTTCAAGATAAAGATGTCGCTTCCCTCACAGCGATGATCAATGACACAAGGTCAAAACAAAAAAAATTCTTGTGTTGGCCACATTTTGGGAAAATCCAAAATATGGGTACACTGAAGTAGAAAATACACAAAAATACAACAAAGACCATTTTTAAATCTATATTTAAAGCAAAAACGATCACATAACACTGTCGCATCGCCTACCATCCAGCAAGATCAGGCTATTCCAGCCTTTTTAGCTCATTAAAAAACTATTGTTCATTGTAGTTAAAAAAAAAAAAAATTTAAATACTGTATAAATTAAATGAAGATGCTACATCAAAGATTGTACATGCCTTGGTCTGATTAAGATTGGATTATTGTAATGGAGTCCTTATAGATTGCCTTTAACATCAATTATAAAGCACCAGCTATTAATGAACATTGCTGCTCGTCTTGTCACTGGGACACCTAAATTCCATCACATCACCCTATAATATGTCATCTTCATTGGTTGCCAGTGAAACAGCGTATTGTTTTCAAAGTACTTCTAACTGTTTATAAATCAATTCACAATTTATCAGAGCAACACATTTCCGAATTAATTCTGAAACTTGCACTCGTACCCTCCAGTTAACATCAGCCTTCTTTATCTTGTGGGGAGCGATCGTTTATGATTGCTGCAACCAAGTTGTGGAACTTGTTACCTATAGTTATTCTTGAGTCACCTTCTGTCACCAATTTCAAAGAACGACTGACGACCCACTTATTCATGTCCCTTTAATCTATTTTTCTTATTTTTCCATGCCAGCTGGTTTTTCTATAACTCTTAACTAGGATAGGAGGCGCTCGAATTCAGGATGGCCGAGACTCAACAGGTGCCGACCACAGTTCAATTAGATTGACCCCTAGTTAGTGACGAGGAAATATCTCCATAATTTGGTTTGGGTACTGGCATGGATTTCAATTTTCGCTTCATTTATTACTTTGGTTTCTGTTCCATCTTTACACTTGACTTTTGATAGCGCTTAATTAGAGACTCTTCATATTTTGCGCTCTACAAATTGAAAACCATTAACCATTGAAATTCTGAACCTCAATTTCATACATTTTGGGTCGGTTGGGCATGGCCAACATACAATTTTTTTTATTTGGCCTAATATATCAAATGCCAGTGCCCTGACATGGGAATGCCTCCACGATGTGTTTTTTTCTATTCTTCTGGCATCAGCTCATGATGATTGGGGACTGGCAGATCCTATTTTTCTTCAAATTGAATCCCTATTGGGTCCCCATACTGTGAATAGGTTTGCCAATTGTTTTAATATAACAAGGTTGCCAAGTTTAATTCCAGGTACTGGAGCCCAGACGCAGAAGCCGTAGACACATTCACTGAGCATTGGACTCATGGTAACAACTGGCTAGTTCCTTCAATTAGTCTTATTGCTTCCTACACTTAAATTCAGATAAAGCAGCAGGTACATTAATTGTCCCCGTCCCCAACTGGTCGTCAGCTCTGTTTTGGCTTCTAATCGTGGTTCATGGTTGTTTTATTCCCCAGATTTTGGGTATTAGGCTGTTTTCAGAATCTTCCGATTCATTTATAGTAAGTCGTAGTGGTCATCCTTATTTAAGAACATTTACCAGAATTTCACGTTATCACTTCGTTTATCGTTTAAATTTAGGCTGCAGAGCTGTGATAATACTTGGTGAGTGGTCAACATATTATACTGAATCATGAGCAAGTTAAAATGTGTATCGGGCTGCAGAGCCGTGATAGTACTGGAGGAATGCTATTATTTGAATTATGAGATAATTTGAAATATGTATTGGGCTGAAGACCCATGACAATACTGTAGGCATATGGGGAGGAATGCTATTATTTGAATTATGAAATAATTTGAAATATGGGCTGAAGACCTGTGACAATACTGTAGGCATATGGGGAGGAATGCTATTATTTGAATTATGAGATAATTTGAAATATGGGCTGAAGACCCGTGACAATACTGTAGGCATATGGGGAGGAATGCTATTATTTGAATTGTGAGATAATTTGAAATAATGTGTTGGGCTACACAGCCGTGATAATACTGGAGATGTGGGACTAGAAGGAATGATAATACTTAAATTATAGGATGATTTAAAATATGCATTGGGCTGCGGAGCCGTCATAATACCGGAGCCACGAGAAGGAATGCTGTCTGCTTGCCTTCCGGGATGTGTTGGTCCTTTCTTATTGTTTTATTTATTGTGTTACTGTATATTTTTGCATGTAATTTAATTAATTAACACTTTTGAGAAGGTAAGGAGAAGTCGATTGATTGTTTAATGTATCATGCTTATACTTATTCTTCTTTGAATTAACCGTGTAACCCATTTGGGTTCTGGCTCTGTTACCTATTCTTGGTTGTATGGCGATGCTTACATATTTTTTCTCAGGTGTTCTGAGAGAGTTTATCTACTAATACGGCCCCCCACATGGGGAAGTTACGTCTAAAGTTGACGGAAGTGATTATGCGAGATCGGGCAGATTTGACTGTGACCCAGTACAGCAGCGGGTTTCTTTGGTGGTAGGCATGAGCTCTTGCGAGATCCCAACTCAGTGATTCCAGCCTCTTCATGTGAGATACCGCTTTAACTTTCTTCAGTATTGCATGGGCACATAGGATGGCTTCGATACCGTCACCAACCGAGCAAATGCTTCTAAAGAGGCGGCAAATAGAACCTTGTCAAGATCAAATCACAGAAAAAGAGCCAATGACCATTGAGGTGGTTCAAAAGCTGTGCCTGAAGTATCCTCCATAACCTTAGAACGCTGATGCTTATTATCATTGGGTTTGCATGTTTCTTTAGATTTAATGAACTCTCTCGTATAAAATGTTCTGTATAATAAAATATATAATAATATGATAATAATAATAATATAATATAATAATACAATAATAATAATAATAATAATAATAATATAATAATATATATTTCGTTCCTTATTTAAACACAGTTATAATTTCAGGCAAACCAATTTCAGGCCCTTTTGTATTGTTGGCTTGTTTGTATTGTATGTGTCTTAAGGAGACACTTTTTATAGTTATTCAGTTCGCTGTTGGGAATCCTGTCTTGGTTGTTCTTGTTCTTGTTTTATGTTTTTTTACGAGACGAATAAATGAAATAAAATATTCTAATCAAGGGCGAGAGAGGCTTTTAAAGGTATTTTCGGGGAGGTGGTAGATAATGCTGACGATTATGGGTTGCATAGTTTGCGTTCAGGGGGCAGCCAATAGGGGTATCCCAGACAGGTTGTTTATGAAGCATGGACGCTGGGTGTCTGTTTGAATCCACATCGCTCAAAACAATAACAAAACAATTATTAAGTAGCTCCATGAAGGTTGACAAACGCACATGGTTAGTTGCTGTATGACATCCAGTTGTTGGCTGGCTAGTACCATTATAGAAAGAATGATACTGCTATGCAGTGTTATGATTCTAATATAAAAACTTGTGAAAATAATTATCGTAGAAAATTTAATGCTGCACGACCATCTAGAATAATACGTTGTTTCGTCATACACTAATTTCAAGTTGGTTTTGCTTATTTATGGGCTGATAACATAGAAATTTCAAATGTCAATGTTTCAAAATAATTACTGTACCCTATTTATAAATCATATCATGAGTCTTGTGAATTAGTGTATCACTGTTGGATATTTGAATAAAAACATAAATACAAATAACAATTATATTAAAATAGCTAAAAATATGTCATTGCAAATAAAAAATCTAATAAATTAAATCACATTAAAAGCAAGTTTTAAGTTTCTATTACCCTATTCAATTGTTAAAAACTGTAATAAAAATCAAGAATTAGAGAAGTTTCGCACGCGAACGAATACGTGTACGCATACGTTTAGTTATCCGTAACGATTTGTAGCCATTCTGTGTTTTCCACAATTCAAGTGTACCTGTAGGGCTACCCTAGGGCCTTAGCTTAGGGATGGTAGCAGAATAATACTCTTTCATTTGTTACCCAGAAGAGTTGGTTATTTTGTGTTATGCCCTATTGTTTTTATGACCCAAAAATGCCTGGCTACAAGCTAGGCCTGGGCGCCCTACAAAAAAATCCAAGGTCCAAGGTTTTGATACCCAAAATGAGATGCATCAAATGTAACAAAAATTGCACGTACATATTCTAAGGTACATTTATTTTTAACACTTACTGTTGAATGTCAAAAAAAAATGAAGATCCTATTAGAAATTCAAAATTTTCCTATGCGTTTTTTACTTACGTGTAGTGAGTGAGATGCGTGTTGTTCCCACATTTAGTGGATAGCAACCGGCATATGATGTCATAATGATGACGTATCCGTCAGAATAACCGTATGCATTTGCGTGCGAAACCTCCCTAATATTAAATTGTTAACAACTTCATCTACATTTCATACATATTTAGCAAACATTAATTAAAATTTATAAATAAAAATTAAAACTTACCAGTTTGATAGCAATATGTTCATTGTTATAAAGGTTTTTACCTACAATGAGAAATACAGTATGTGTTAAAATGAGAAATTTTATATTTTATTTTTAAATAACATATTTAAACACACTAATAATAGTTTTAGTCAGGTTCCTTATGTAATTTCGTTCAACTTTTGTGGAGACTCTCCAGAGAATAATGCACTGAAAATTAAAAATCAATTTTCACATGACATTAAAAACCGCCATTTTGGATTCCAAAAACTGCAGCTTTAATTATAACTATCATTAATAGATAAGGCCTGCCCACGACTTCCATAATATGGTAAACAAATTTACAAAAAGTCTAATAAACCAAGAATAAACATTTATATTAAATCATGAATAAGCTTGAGAAGGGTCGTCCACGTTGAAAATCAAAAACTGTGTTTTAGTCCAGCAGTTTAGCCAAAAATTTAGGGTTAATAGTGCACTTTCTGGTCAATAGAGGGCACTGTACCAGAAAATATTCGATATGGTCCACAGTACATGTGTGCCAGGTTTCATGCTTTTATCACAAAGTGCACATTTTTCTGACATAACTGCTGGACTATTTGAAATTGCATCTATTATATAATACAAAATAGAGTCTTTTTGAAGGCAAAAATAGTATTGATATGATTATTTACCGACAATTCTCATAATTTTAGAATGCCTAATGTGTCTACTTTCATCTGCAGGTTGTTTTGTTAGATGTAAACCTACTTTGGGCCTGTACTGTACATGGATGTCAAGGAGGCCTGGGTCTAAGCTCAGTGGTGGTGCCCAAGAGGGCGGGGAGAGCATTCCCCCCCCCACCTCCAGAAAAGAAGAAATTCACAATATGTCGGGAAGAAGAAAAATTATATGTATTTTCTACATATTAGTAGATTATCTATGTAAAATCGATTAAAATGGCAGCCATTTTGAATTTCAAGATGGCCACCATTTTCACCATTGGATAAGCCGACATTGAAACAGTAGGGTTTAGTACCAAAATCATGTGAATACAGTACCTGCTCTAATAACACAGTTATGGCTACTTTTATTGTGAAAATGGCAGCCATTTGGAAATTCAAAAATGGTCACCAAGATAATCTCGGAAAAATGGACCCTAGCATTTTTTAAATCAGTACACCTAATATATACAGAAAAAGTAATAAAATTGCCTTGGGCAAGCCCATATCGCGAAAGAACATTAGGGTTCACACTAAATGATTTGTTAGTAGTATGCACACTGAAGCTCTTCACAATACCAAAGATAGAAGATAGACCAGCTTCGTGATAAACAGTAGTGGAAGAACGCAGACAGCAATTTTACTCCATCCGAGTGGCGGCGCTATTTCATTAAAATAAAGGCGCCGTCCAGGCTCGTTTGTTTCCTGTAGTTTTTCCACACTGTCAAATGGTCAAATATTGACTCCGCTTACGAAATTTATTATGAGTTATTACGTAGGCCTAACTTCCTGAGTAGACATTTGTTTAATAGATTAAAATTAAAACTGTAAACATTGTTATGAATTATTTCAGCGTTGCCTAAAGGTAAGCTCAGGTCGACACGCAACTGAACGGAACTACTATAAACTCATGTCGACTTTGAGCAACTGAAAGGAACTCTTCGTAGTTACCTTTACCAGGTGTGCATCGCGAAATAAAACTTGTAGTGTCCCTAGTACCAACATCACTTTAAAGAATGGCGACATGCGAGTAAGGTAAATACAATTAATTAAAACATTTATGTCACTGAGCCGCTGATTAAAATAAATACAGCATTAGATTTTTTTTTGCAGGTGAAAACTTCAAAAGTTTATACAGTAGAACCTCGTTTTTACGTACCCCAGTTATACGAACCCTCGGTTTTACGTACGCCTCGTATCGACGATGATGTTATCAAAAACCCGGAAAATATTCAAAACAAACGACCCTTTTCAGAGCAACCATAAGTAAAAAGACTATAACAATAAACTATAACAATAAACAAACCATAATGCAACATATTTTCATTAAACAGCAACATTAATTGAGTCTAATACCGGGTTGTTATAATCTAAAACCACGTGAACTGAGTGAGAAGAACAACTACCGATGGTGCTCAGAATAATTGCTTTCCTCCTATAGCTTCATGTGGCAAACCATGGAAAAACTTGTCTGGTCTAATTTTCTACACGAAGCTGAGTAGGCGTAGTTTCGTACACGAACGCTAATTGGTTGGCCCGCCCAGTGCAGTGCACATGGTTTTGCTGTTTCACGTACACGAACGCTAATTGGTTGGCTCGCCCAGTGCACATGGGTTTAGTTTGTCTCAACAGGCCTAGACAACACCACAGCTCTGTTGTTTAGAATAGGCATAAAGGGGAATTCCCAAGTTATACCTTTGTCGTATAGGTAAACTTACAATATTTTCATGTTCTTTAGACAAAGTGATGAATTAATACACTAGACACGGTTTTATTTGAACACTTTATTATGACATCGTAAAGTGATGAATAAAAACACTAAACACATGGTTTTATTCATAGGCCTAGAGGCTATGTCTAGCCTAACTAGGTATCATCGTTCGTTCATACATACGTATATTGAGCGTTACGTACGTATTAGGTCAAAGGTTACCACAAATTTAACCCAACCTCTATTTTACGAATCCCCCGATTTACGTACGCCCTCCGGTCCCGTACCGTACGTAAAATCGAGGTTCTACTGTAATATTCTTTCCGGTTGGGCAGGACCACAACTGGCACAATCATTCCTAAAATGTGCCAAGTAATTTATGATGATCTTAAAGATGAATATTTGAATGCAAGAATACAGTAACTTCTGCCTGGAAAATTGTTTGGTTGCATGCAATTTTGGCTGTAACAACGAATAACACACTGCAAATGAAAGTGATGACGTCACCACAGACTATAATAGTCAATAAGTGACAGTGCTTGAATATCGACAGTACAGTACCTAAAAAAATCAACTGTATTTGAAATTTGAATGTGCCTGATAATCGAATGTTAACTGATTGTGCATAAAAAACTTGAAAATCAGCTGTGTTTGAAAGTTGCCTTTTTATCATTCCACATACGAGGATGCAAAATTAACATTTTTCACACTCGCTCGATTGGACGAATGACTTTTCAAATTCACTCCCCCAAATATGTTTGCCCAAAGCCCAAAATTTTATTGATGGTGGGCATTTCCTCCCTTCCCCGGAAATGCCCAGACACAAGACACAAGGTCGTCGGCCAAGAAATAATAATTTGCCTATCTAAATTACGTTGCACTTACACTATATATTGCCAATCCCTAACAATATGGGGTGCCACATGCAGCAAAATGCAATGTCTAATTTATCAAAACGTAGCCGCAAATTTCTCAAAATGAAGTTCTAATTTTTCAAAACATAGTTCAAATTTTCCAAAATGTAATTCAAATTCAAAACGTAGGTCTGACTTGATCAAACGCCCTCTCCAAATTTTGTTCCGAAACGTAAATCAAAAACTTTGATTTTAACATGGACTTCTGCTGTGTATGGCACCCCATATAATAATGTTGCACGGTCTAAAAAAGCAAAATTTGGGCCATACCTGTGAAGCCTACCAGGGAGTTTTATTCCTGGACCTTCACTGAGGCTCTAGTTGGCGCCTTCATTCGGACAACCTGCCGGTTATGGTTCCCCCTTCCCGGCAAACTTTATGGAGCTACCACTTCACTGAAGAGCTCAGACTTTGATTAAACCAAAGAAGCGCCTCTTTACGGCTGCTAGGTAGTCACGGACCATACCCATACACAATTCAGCACAATGACGCTGCAAGTTATGGGTTATTCTCCTACCTTTTCCTTTACCAAAAAGCATTTCCAAATTGACCCAGCATCACCACTACAGTGTCCTCCCCAGGCCCTTGAAGTATCATGGTACCATGATGCTTGTTGGAACATCTTCCATGTTGCTTTATTTAAATGTTCCCTGCTTTTATAGTCTTAAAATGCAATTTATGGACATTTCAATGCCTTCTAATTGCAACTGAACGGAACTACTATAAACTCATGTCGTTCAGTTCATTGACAAATTTCGCGAAAGTTTAGAGTGCGCGAAATTTCCTGGTTTTACAGTACCTTGTGTCAGTCCCAACTATGGTGGACTTAACACTCACCACAGGGCTAGAAATTTACTATTTCAGCCACTAGCAACCTATTGCTAAAATGTGCTAGTTGTTAAAAATGTAACTAGCAAAATGAGCTGCTCAACTAGTAAAATATATTGATACAGTAGCAACTCAACATATTATTTTCGGAAAATAAATTGTATGAAAATAACTAAATGTACTTCCATAAATTTGTGTGTTAATTGTTTTAATATAACATTTTTAATTGTTTTAATATAACATTTTCTGTTATGGTGAGTGTAGTACAATAAATATCACAAAGAAATAGCCAAATGAGTATAAGAAATTGATTTCTATACCTTGTACTGTACATTCATTCACTTCAGTGTCAGAACATTTTTAATATGAAAAAAAAAATCAGATACAAAATAAAAATTTAATATTATATACTTAATTTATTTTTTAAAATAAGTTAAGTTTATCATTCATTTAATTTTTATTTTTATATTTGTGATTTTGTTTTCATAACAAAATTTATTTCATATTAATTTTACATCATATTATTTTGAAAATTAAAAAAAATATACTTGTTTAATAGTGTCACACCCTCAGAAATGTTCAGGGGTGGGGGGGGAGAGAGAAGTTTTTTTTTTTTGCCAGACTAGCCTAGGCAGGCTTAGCTAGGGGCTAGGCCTAGAGATTTCAAAAACTGCATTGGTAGCAAGCCAAATCTTTGACAGAAAAGGCCATAACAGAAACTCAATTTTAAATAAAAGATTTGTTTGTACAATATTTATTTTGATAGGCCTTGATCTTTTAAAGTTGGGGCTAGACGTTCCGTCGGCGGCCGCTGGTGCAGTAGTAGGCCTAGTCCTAGCCTAGGTTAGGAGGTCTACTAGGCCTAGCCAAACTAGGGTCTAATAGGCTAGGCCTAAAACATTTGCCAA